ACGCCACGTGGGTCAGGAGAGACGGCGTCAGGGCGTTATCCGTAGAAACGCCACGTGGGTCAGGAGAGACGGCGTCAGGGCGTTATCCGTAGAAATGCCACGTGGGACCCTGGACCCTGCACAGGGGAGACGGCGTCAGGGCGTTATCCGGATGGCTGGTGACATTTGCACATGGGCGATGGACCAGGTCACATATTGTGTGCATCCACCCAAGTACTGAGGTGTGACGCAGCACGGCGTCTCCAGCCTACCTGCTGTAGTGCAGGAAGCCTGTGCAGGGCCGGTGAGGAAGCGCACAGGGGCCCAGGGAGTGTCCTCCAGCACCCCTGACAAAAGCCGGTCCCTTCCCTGGCCCCAGCCAAGGAGCCAGGCCTGCAAAGCCGAGGCCAGGTGTGTGCAGAGCACGTGTTCCCGCTTCTCCCATGGCAGAGGGAGAGCCTGTGGACAACAGTGGGGCGCTCTGCTCCCAGGCAGGCCCCACTGCGCTGAGCCGCACAGCCTGGCTTTGCCCTTCCCTGACTGCACCACCCACATCAACTGCCTCTAGTCCTTAAAACACAAAACTTCCCCCCAGGCACTGGCCGCCAGGGCTGAGTTGGAGGATGTGTTATGTCCCTGGGTCCACTGGGGGGCAGTGTTGGCCATGGCATTGGCGCCGGCTCTGCCGAGAGGCGTTGGAGTGACTGTGTGGGGTGGTGAGCACGGACCCAGCCTGATGGAACCCACTGTACCAGCTCCAGGCCTCAGCCTCCGAGAAGGACTTCTCTGTGTCACTCACTCACACGTGTCCTCAAGACGTGAAGACATTTCAGCAGACCAAAGTTTCCTTCTAGTTTCCTTCTAATTTCCTCCTAATTGTCCAGATACATGGAGACATCTCTCCCTCACCAGGGGGTGCTGGGGCAGTCCCAGGCGTGGGGGCAGGGGGGTGGGCAGCCCCTGGAGCACACAGTGGTGAAGACGTTCCTGAATGTGTCTCAGGCTGTAGAAATCTTATTTTGTGGAAAGATTTTAGAGAATCATCAAAATAAACTTTTACTAAATAACATTTTACCAGAAACTGGATCCAAGAGAGGTAGAATCTTTCACTCCCTGCCCCCCAGGTTACTGTGTCAGAATCACCTGACTAGGACGTGGGCCCTGCAATCTGTGCCCTCCTTCCTGTGCCTGTGGGGTCAACAGCAAGAAGGCCCCTCAGTGCCCCTCAAGCCTGGCACCAGCCACAAGGGCCTGGGGCAACATCGGGGCATCTTTGCGGGTAGAGGGGACTGCTTTTGAAGAGGGAATTGTCTCTTAAATCTCTAAGTGTTTTGAGGTTTGCAAAATCTGTTTTCAGGATTGTTCTTTCCTCAGTTAAAGTAACAAAATAACCCAGTGTGTTCCTGTAGAGGACCCAGGGCTTTCGACCTGGACTTGGAGTCTCCCCTGCCTGGCTGCTGTCCCCCAGCGCTGCGCCATCTGCAACCTGTTTCACCAGCACAAGACCTCCCTTCCTCCAGACCTGCCTTGGCCTCTCCTAGGCCCAAGAGCCCATTCCTGCCCATCCTCCCGGGGCCGCGAGTGAGCCTCTGTGCCACACTTGCCAAGGGTGCTCACGGAGGCACAAGGCCCGCTCACTGGAGGAAGCGAGTCTGGACTCAGGCTCAGGCCTGTGGCGAGCCTCTGTGGGGGCTGCCCTGCACCTGGCCTCGGCTGGAGCCTGCAGCGCCAAAGAACTTTCTCTGTCCAAGAGGAAGGCAGACATCTCTCCCCTTTGCTGTGTCATCCCCGCGGCCCCCGAGCATCCC